CCGGAATCATGAGCGCGCAGTCTTCATCCTACAGCCGGAACCCTGGCCCAGTGCGACGTTCCTCTATCGGCTCTCGTCTCTCCTTTGCCGTGTCGACAGCTGAACAAGGCGTTGCCAGCATCCCGCCACCAGCAGAGGGGCAGATTGAGGAGGAGATTGCGGAAATCAAGAGATATGAGGTATGCGACGCCATTGCAAGGCGGCCAAGCACACCATTTTACTGACCCGTGCCCAACAGGACTTTACAACAATAGGTACCCGAGACCGTTGTTGCAGCTTGCAGCGCATGTCGTGACTGACCTTTTGTGTGCAGACTGGGTCCAAGATGCCTCGCGCGAACAGGCACGGCGAAAAACGAGACAGAAGCGAGCAGCGGGCTTGTACGACCGTGGACAGCAGGGCTGGCGATATCGACTCTGGGCCTCCTATGACGCTGCGCAGGGCTGGATCGTCGTCACTATTATTGGCGCAGCCATTGGCTTGAATGCCGCGTTTTTGAACATTGCTACCGAGTGGCTGTCTGATATCAAGCTGGGGTACTGCACAACGGCCTTTTACCTGAATGAGAACTTCTGCTGCTGGGGGGAAGATAATGGTGAGTATATGGGAGTGCCTTGCCGTACACCTTGTTTGCTGACCCGAGTGCTAAGGATGTCCCAATTGGCATCGGTGGACGGGCTTTGGGCCGTTGAACTACTTTTTATATATCATATTTGGGGTACGTATTGGCCAGTCTTTTGTTGCGGATGGCAACTGACATTTGCTAGACTTGCTTTGCATTCGCAGCCGCTATTCTCGTCAAATCCTTCGCGCCATATGCCGCCGGGTCTGGAATTTCCGAAATCAAATGCATCATTGCGGGTTTCGTCATGAAGGGATTTCTGGGCCTCTGGACTCTGGTCATCAAATCTGTAGCTCTTCCGCTGACCATTGCGTCTGGTCTGTCTGTCGGCAAAGAAGGGCCCAGCGTTCACTATGCCGTCTGTACTGGCAACGTCATTTCACGATGTTTTGCTAAATATCGGCGCAATGCGTCCAAGACACGGGAGATTCTGAGTGCATGTGCCGCAGCCGGAGTCGCAGTCGCATTTGGCAGTCCCATCGGAGGCGTTTTGTTCTCCCTGGAAGAAATGTCGAACCACTTCCCGCTCAAAACCATGTGGCGAAGCTATTTCTGTGCGTTGGTGGCCACGGCTGTCCTCTCGGCCATGAATCCCTTCCGTACAGGACAGCTCGTCATGTTCCAGGTCAAGTATGACCGGGATTGGCACTTTTTTGAAATCATCTTCTACATCATTATAGGCATATTTGGTGGTCTCTATGGCGCGTTTGTCATGAAATGGAATCTGCGAGCTCAGGCGTTCCGCAAAAAGTACCTCGCCAAGTATGCGGTCCTCGAAGCTACCTTGTTGGCTGCTGGAACAGCCATTATTTGCTATCCCAATGCCTTCTTGCAAATCGACATGACGGAGAGCATGGAGATCTTGTTCCTCGAGTGTGAAGGCGCCGAGGATTATCACGGACTTTGCGAGCCAGATAAGCGGTTCCGGAACATTGCTTCCTTGACCATTGCTACTGTTTTGCGCATATTCCTTGTCATCATTTCGTATGGCTGCAAAGTGCCTGCGGGCATTTTTGTGCCGTCAATGGCCATTGGAGCGTCCTTTGGGCGCACTGTAGGCATCATCGTACAGGCCATTCACGAAGCGAACCCCAAGAGCATATTCTTCGCCGCTTGCAAACCTGACGAGCCCTGCATCACCCCCGGAACATATGCGTTTCTGGGAGCTGGTGCCGCGCTTAGTGGCATCATGCACATCACAGTTTCGGTCGTTGTTATCATGTTTGAGCTGACGGGCGCGCTGACGTATATTTTGCCAACCATGATTGTGGTCGGCGTCACAAAAGCTGTTGGCGACATGTTCGGCAAGGGTGGCATCGCCGACCGAATGATATGGTTCAACGGGTTCCCATATCTAGACCAGAAGGAGGAACACAACTTTGGCGTCCCAGTGTCACAGGTCATGAGGACATCAGTGGTGTCCGTACCTGTCAACGGAATGATTCTGGCCGAGCTGGAAGCCCTTCTCTCCGAGGACGAATATCAAGGCTTCCCCATCGTGGAGGACAAGTCGTCCAGGATCCTAGTAGGGTATATTGGACGAACTGAGCTCCGCTACGCAGTCGACCGCATCCGCCGCGAAGGGCAAATCGACCCCAACGCGAAATGTATATTTGCGCCTCCGCCTGCGTTGAACGCCGTCACGCCCGTCACACCCAGCGTCACAATAAGCACAGATTTCGCGTCTTCCACATGCCTCGATTTCAGTCGCTACATCGATGCCACACCCGTCACGGTCCACCCCAGGCTTCCCCTCGAGACCGTCATGGAACTCTTCCGCAAGATTGGCCCGCGTGTTATTCTCATCGAATACCACGGTAAACTGACGGGCCTGGTCACGGTGAAGGACTGTCTCAAGTATCAGTTCAAAGTGGAGGCTGCCGAGAATCCCAAAGACGACCATCGCATCAACCAAGGCCAGGAGCAGCTGTGGGATGTGCTCCAAAAAGCGGGCTATTGGATATCAGGTCACATATCGACCATGTCGAGGGGCAGGATACGCCTCAGCAGCGATGAGGATCGGGCACGAGCCCGCGGTACCATTCTAGACGGGGATGAGGATGTAGGCGACGAAGGCGTCGAGCTGGAAAGTCGAAGATGACAAGAAGAAGTGACAACATCGGCGTTGGGCGTCTCTTATTATAAATTTGCCTTGATATCTTGTCTATGTACCTATCTATATCTATCTACAATGATGATGCGGCTGTGCGAAACTCGTGTACCCATCCAACAACCCAAGTTCTACCTAGACAAGTCCCCCAAATCAGCTACATCCTCATCCTCATCGCCGTCCTCTTTCAAAAGCGGAATCGCCTCGTCGCTCCGCTCCTCCGGCCCAACCTCGCCGGGCGTGTCCTCGCCCCTGTCCTCGTCCTTCCTGCCGACAATCACATTCCCAGCGACCAGCAGCGACGCGCCCGCCCACCAGAGCGGGGGCAAGGCCTCTGCGAAAATAAACAGCCCCAGCAGCGCAGTAAGCATGAAGTTGGTAGACGTGTTGATGATGCTGACTTGCGTGGTGGAAGTCCCCCTTGCAAGGGCCTGGGTGAAGAGCGTCCACATCTGTTTGCCGCGGTCAGCGTTTCTCCCCCCGCCCGGTGGTCATCTACGAGAAGGAGAGAGCGCAAGGACTTACAATGCCGTTGAATGCGAGGTTCAGACCGAAGAAGATCTATCCTCGTCAGTTTCAGGACACACTGTACCGTTGGTAGGGAGGTTTCACGTACGGCGCGGACAGCAACTTCTACAATGTTCTCGTGCGAGGAGAGCGACAAGACGGTGGCCAGCTTATGGGCCAGGGTGGACGTGAGTTCCGTGGTTGTTCTGTCCTGTTAGTACCTTTTTTTTTGCGCGAGGAGACGTGTGGTTCGTGTACGCGGATGGACGTACAGCTTTGCAAAGACGCCGTTGAATGCCGCGCAGGCGCCGCTCGCAACGGCGTACACGATCCATTGCGTGCGGGTGGATGCGGGAGTCTGGGGGCCGGAGACCATGGTGGGTGCGGGTTGGGCTGCGGCGCTGGATTTCCTGCCGCGACGCTGGCGGACCATGATCTTTGGATCGTGGAGGGTGTGGGATGAGTGCTGGATCGGGGCGGACGGCCTTCGTTGTAAGCTGGTTGGCGATGGCGTGGCTTGGACACTTTGAGGTGCCAAGTCCGGAACCCAGGGGACGGGACGGCTGCATGTGCTGTGGAGAACTTGGAGGTCGGTCCAGTCAGTACCTGGGGACCGGTGTTTGAACGGCCATGACGACTTTGAATCGGTTCTCGCGGATACGGCAAGTCACCACAGTCTACAACTAGACGCGACTGTACGCGGCATGCAGCAGTTGAAGACTAGAAAAAAAGAGGCAATAAATTCATGTTCTACTGTGCCGAAAACTCCGAACGTCTGCACACGCCTAAAACGCCGTCAAATGCAAGCCGCGAGCTGTATCTTGAATGGTCGTAGCATCATCCGTCACTCTAGTTGATAACCCACCCATTATACAATGAATCCCCCGGGACAGTCATTTCCAATCTACGCCCCCTCGCCAGGTTTCTTGGCGTTGCAGCTTACAATCTTGACCTTGTCCGCTTGGACGGATTGGCTGCCGTTGTCCATCTTGAAGGTGACGTTCTTGATCAAGAAGGTCCACACCTCGTCGCAGAATCTGTAGGTATCGAGGCTCCCCTACCGTCATCCTCCGTGTCAGCATCATTGCGTGTTTTTTGCAAATCAAGTCCCGTCGCCGCGCGCTGGCCCGGTTTGCAACCAACCTTAAATTGCAGCCTGCTCTTGACGTTCTTCTGCAGCGCTTCTGTGATGGCCTGGTCAAAGTTGCCGAGGATCTTCATCGCCAGCTGCGGGTTGATGCGCTCTTCGCTGATCAGGTCGTCGAGGGTATCTGTCAAAGCGAGCCCGATGCTGTCACCGCCCGTGTTAGCCCATGTTCGGCCGTCTCCCTTCTGCCACCGCACCGTTGGACATGAGGTACCTGCTTCGGCGGTACAGCTCGTAGAACGACTGCGCTCCTGACGCCATGGTTGCGCTGTCCTGGCCTTCTTTCGTTCCTTTTCTATGTGGGATGTTTTTTGATGTTTGCAGCAAAGACCCTGGTGTAGTAATGTTCAAAGAGCTCCGACGAGGCGCCGTGCAGGGAGGGGTGTATCTGCCTGGTCTGACTAAGCATTTAGCCGCGGGTTAGACACATCATGTGACGTCGCTGGCTGGCACCTGGTGTCGCTGGCCTAGCAGAGCTTCAAGTCGGGGCCGTAAGGGAAACCATATCGCCGAAGCAAGCTTGTTACCTCGCGACTGTCGACGCGGTATCAGTCAAGAGTTTTCCCCCTTGTTTTCTTTTTCGTCGTCGGTATTTCCACAACCTTGTTGCCATAATGAGTCTCACATATGGCGTGGGCGGCGTTGCGTCGTTTCTGACAGTGGTGGGAGCTTGTGTGTTGTCCCCAGTCGTTGTGGCTTGATTTGGAGGCTCGCTGACGCTGTTCAAGATATGCTCTTTACCGGGAGCGGTGAAGCCTTCAATGTCGGAGCCTTCCTCGAATCTGTGTCCCCCTATGCGTGGGCCGATTTGGGCATTGCTCTGTGCATTGGATTATCTGTCGTTGGCGCTGCATGGTGCGTTCGCCCCTGCCGCCATCTACGATTTATTTGCTTCACTTACGACTACTTCAGTGCTAACGAATTTCGCCAGGGGCATCTTCATCACCGGATCTTCAATTCTCGGCGCTGGCGTCAAGGCTCCCCGAATTCGAACCAAGAACCTCATCTCCATCATCTTTTGCGAAGTCGTCGCCATTTACGGCGTCATCATGGCAATCGTCTTCTCTTCCAAGGTCGACAAGACTGACGTCGTGGCCGCCGCGTCCGCCGAATCATACTATACTGGGTTTGCGCTATTCTGGTCCGGTCTGACGGTTGGACTTTGCAATCTCGTCTGCGGCATTGCCGTGGGCATTAACGGGTCTGGGGCTGCTTTGGCTGATGCTGCTGACCCGTCATTGTGCGCCCTCCCTGCTCTATATCGGTTACTCGGGATGACCATACTAACTCGTTTCGATAGGTTCGTCAAGATTCTCGTCATTGAGATTTTCAGCTCCGTTCTCGGCCTGTTTGGGCTGATTATTGGCCTGTTGGTTTCTGGAAAGGCACCCAACTTCGGCGCAACTAGCTAGATGACATTCGAATGGGAGACGACGACGGAAAGCACTACAGGGGCATCTTGTCTCTGCATAATTTGATGTGGTAGGGATACCGCTGGGATGGTAACGTCCTGTATGCATTATGCCGAATGCAACATTTGGCAAGGCGTTGGAAGCTGAGCTGGGGGGAACCCGTGTTTTTCATAGCTGTACCACCATCCCCCTACATTCGGAATTGTACACCAGGCATTCACTGGCAGATGAGATCCATAGATTTGCTTTAAACTAGAGCCCGAGCTTAAACTGTTTGTGATAGCAGACCGCCAAATAACAAAAGGTGTCCCGCGCGACACACGGACTTGCTGATTAGCTACCCACTGTAATATAGGAAGTGATGGGATTTCAGCTTGTAATAAATACGTTTACATATTCCACAAATATTTAGGACGTCCGCAGAGCACCTATCAACAACGCATCTACTGTAGAGCCTTTCTTCAACTTTCCCGTACCAGAAGGCATACAGACCAATGCATTCGCTGACCTCAAGCTCCCCACCTTGGAGCTCCTCTGGCCACCGGTACTGCTCGCCGTCAACACGCCGTCCTGGCCCACCGTAACTACGGCACGGTGATACTCTGGTCTAGGATCCATGGGAAATTCATGGCCTAAAACTACAGAGACCTTTGGCAATCCCACTGGCGACACACCGCCTTGTTTATGCAACGAAGGCAGGACAAACAAGTGGAATGTCACCAGTGCTGACGCGGGATTTCCAGGGAGCGAGAAGATGACCTTTGACCTGCGCTGGCCGTTGTTATCCTTGACAGGGACGGTAGCAAACGTCGTGGGCTTGCCAGGTTTCATCGCCACTCGTCCAAAATGAATCGTGCCCCCGAGAGACCGCTCAATGGTGGGCTTCAACAGATCCAGCTCGCCCATGGACACACCGCCAGTGGTGATGAGCACGTCTGCCCGTCGCAGACCATTCCGAAGCGTCTCTTCTAACGAGCCTGGCTTGTCCTTTGAGATGCCCAGATCAACGACTTCAAACCCCCATTCTTTGACGGCGGAAATGAGCGTGATTCTGTTTGTGTCTCGGACTTCACCTAGACGAAGAGGCCCAGCTCGATCATGTTCAATGATTTCGTCACCAGTGGATAAGATTCCGATAACAGGCTTTTTGTAAACCCTTATGGCGGCGACTCCAACAGACGCAAGAAGGCCGATTTCGCCTCCAACCCCGGAGATTTGCTCGCCCTTGTTGAGGATCACGGTGCCCTGGGAGACATCGCTTCCTACTTCGCGGATGTTTTCGCCTTCCTTGACACCCTCGGCTTGAATTTCTACTTCCTTTTCCTCTTTGCCGTCTTCCGTCATGGTTTTCAATATCGTATCCTCCACCATGATGACGGATGTAGCACCCGGTGGCAAGGGAGCCCCGGTGGTAATTCGTGCGATTTCTCCTTCTGTGAGGGCCTTAGTTTCGCCGGGGGCAGCATGTGACACGGCTGTCACGGGGAAGACTCCCTTCATGGTGCCATCTTTAGGCGCCACGACGGCGTATCCATCTACAATGCTGGCGCGAAACGCGGGTACATTTTCGCGAGCACTTACGTCCTCCGCCAGCACGGAGCCGATGATCTTGTCGGTTACGGGGTGTTCGTGAATGTCGGGATCAGGAGTGTGCTCGGAAATTAGTGCGAGTGCATCTTCTACCGAGATCATGGGGTAAGGGGATTCACGATGCCGACGAGTAGGGCCAAGAGCTGGATCGTTTGATAAGGCTGTCGCTTCCGGATTGCTGTGTCTGACGAGATTGCCGTGGCCGTGGCCATGCCCGTGGTGACGATGGTGATGACGATGGTCGTGGGAATGGCCTTGCTTGCTTTTTGAACTGCTGATCCCTGCGTCTGCCTCGAGTTTCTTGACCCCTCCGGCATGAAGGGCCCGCGAATTGGCGCCAGCTGCTTGTAGACAGGCATGGGGAAGCGTTTTGATGATGGCCTGGAGATTCTCCTTGGCGCCTTTTGGAGACCCGGGGAGAGTGACGATTAGTGATTTGTTTCTTACGCCAGCGGCTGGCCTGGACATCATGGCAACTGATCATGTTAGCTAGGTATATTTGAGGTTCGGAGAGGACCATTTACAGGGGGTGACAGCCAGGGAGGTAGAGAGCATGGCATGTACCAGTCCGGGGGCTTGTTTATGAAGCAGTGGATTAATTGCCTTGAATCAATTAATAAAGATTCTTTAGATTGACTCATTCAAATTCAAAACTCACCTCCGGCGTCCCGTCCGACACAGCGAATCCTGTTCCACCCGTTGTGATAATCAGATGCGGCGCATCTGCCCCATCAGCCCATTGTATAATCCGTCTTTGAATAGCAAGCACATCATCGGATACTATACTCTCCGCCATCACCTGCCATTTCCCACCTCCATCTTCTGCCAGCACATTGCGCAGAACAGAAGCGGATGCATCAGTGGAGGGATCCTGGGCAGCCGTCGTGGAGACAACCAGGATAGCTGCCGTGAGCTTGTCCATTTGGGGGCCGATGGATTCAGCAGTGGCAAACAAAATACGGTTGGTATTGTAACAATTATGGCTGATACAACAAGCAATTTATCAGTCTGCGGCTACACTGGGAAACATTTTGAGTCCAAGTTGTGAAGCTTGCATTCAAAAGAGGAGGGAGAGCTGTCAGCCGCGGGCCATGGATCGGCCCCACTTGACGGGTAACAGCGAACGACGCCTCATTCCTTATTCATCTTTTTGCATGGCAAACTCTGGAAACCAGCTCTCACTCGTCCGGTTCACGCGACCCGTTACAACGGCTGGAATATAGCAAAAATGGTTCGAATAAAGGAGCGATATCTGCTCGTCAACATCATTTACCCCCCCGACGCCACAAAATCCTCTGCTGCCAAAGTCCCCGGTTTCGTGGTCCAGCATCAACCCACCGTCGAGAGAGTGACGCCGCGAGCTTTGCTCGAGGCGATTAGAACCCAAGTTGGGCTTTTGTTTGGCGATTCAGGACTGGGCGCGTTGGAAGGAAACTTATCGGGTAAGAGAACCTTGGCATCTTGCAGCGCGCTTTGTGCTAGGGCTTTGTGCTGTTTGATGATTGCTGATGCATTTGATAGTGAAATATTTGTCCCTGGCCACATCTACATTCATTCTGCGTTGCCACAGAGCTCACTACCAGACACTCTGGTCGGCCTTGACATTCATGGACCATGTTCCCGCTAAGGATGGACGGCCATGCATTTTTCGCGTGGTGCGAGTGAGTGGTACTATTCGCAAGGCGGAGGAAGAGGCCATTCGCCAGGCACGGCGGCTCATTCTCGCGGCCAAGGAGCAGGCGTCGTCGGGGTCGCAAATTTCCCAGACCCTACGGTTTCAGCAGGATGAATCTATGCTGGACGTTGTGGACGATGGCTCAGACTTGGATAATGCCACGAATGAGGATGAAGTGTGAGCTTGCAACAGGGTATCATTTTTTCCTAACCACTTTGATCCCACTATCTGACGGCAACGACATGTCACCAAAGTCGGGATCCATTTGCATTGAGGGATATGCAGCGGTTGGTGCTGGCGGCGTTGCGTCGTCCAACTCCATGGCCTGCTCTTCGGCAAGCCGCGCTTGTTCCTCCTCCGCCTCCCTTTCCATCTTATCATACTCCTCTTTCTGGTCGATCCAGCGTTCTTGTATGTTCTGAACGTCTAGCATGGACGACTCACTCCGCATGGTCACAGCCCAGATGGTGTCATTCGCACCTTCGGCGCCGCCAAAGACATAGCCGCCTGCCCTATCAATAACACGAAGCAGGTGCATCATGCTTTTCTTATTCTCAACAGCAAGGACCTCATATCGCACTAGCCCATAACTTTCTATCATATTTGCAATGGCTTCGTTAAGTCCAGCAAACTTTTCACTCCGCAGAGCCGGCGACTCGGATTCAAGATATGGTGTGAGATAGTTTAGGTCATCGACATCAGTATAAAATTCCAGGTTGAACGGCAACTCGTCGTATGCTGACACCTTGTCAATCTTGGACAGCACGTTGACATGTGGCATGTCCATCTGGATCATGGCTCGAAGGGATAGGAGCACATTGGAGACATATAATGACGGTTGCGTTACGCAGATGGAGTCGGATAAGTGTACGCAGACAAACTGTAAGGGGTCAGTTGCGGCACGCACATCCCGTAGGCTAATGGTATGACGTACCCTAAATTTCGACTTCTGAAGCTTGTAAAAAATGTTTCGCAGAGAAGTGTGATGTGTGTAGAGCTCAACTTGACCAGGGCAATCAAACAGGATATAGTCATCGCCAAGCTCTTTCAACCCTTCCTCTAGCCACTCAAAGTTGTGCTCCAGCTCCTCAAGGGCATACAGTATGCCACCATTCGGCCCAAGTCGGTCCTCCTTCATAATATCTTCTAATTTTATCAGACTTCGAATGTCTAGTGCACATGGGTAATTGGTGTGGTCGTTGGCAGGGTCGAGGTTCACGACAGAGCATGCCCGACCGATGGCGCCCATGAATTGGTGCACTACGAAACAGTTTTTAGCTTCTCCTCACTTGACCTGAGACATATCGAGGCAAGAGGACGTACTGCCATCGCAATAGGTGCTCTTGCCAGAGCCAGGGCTGCCAAGAACAAGCTGCGCAAAAGGCATCGCGGGACAGATCGACGTCGAAGTGCTCAGTAGCCCATGGCTATTTCAGCTACGGAAGCTGACGTGGATCCTTCCGGAGCTCCCTGATTCTAGTCAGGTGCAGTTTTCGTGGCGATGGTGGTGTGAAGTGTTGGCAGACGGCGGCATGTGATTATTTCGCTATCCACGTCCTGTCTGCCCCTCCCTTCAGAGCTTGGATTGACAAGAAATTCTATGACGGCGGCAGGAGTGGTCGGCGGGGCTCTCCAGTGCATCCGCCTCGTCCTGGCCAGTCACCGCCCGGCCAAATGTCGGACAAAGTGGAGCAAATCGAAGCTCCAGCCCAGACAGACAGAGCTTCTGACAGCA